GATGTTTTCGCGTCGTGCGTTTCCGTGGTCGACCCGCGAACCCGGGAAAGGATTCACTACTTCGAGGTGCCTGGAAGCGCTGCCAAGCACCTCGATCGGGCGATGGGCAGTGGCGATGCTGGAGATGTCCGCGGTGGCGCTACTGCGCCGGGGGCTGCGTCGTGCTCTCCCGCGCTGTGCCGCGCCGCACTAGGACATGATAGGCGACCCGCCACGGAGTGTATTTGCTCGATGTATTTGCGTAGTGTACTTACGTAATGAATTTGCTTAATGTGATGGCGTAGTGCATTTACATATCGTATTTTCATAATGCATCTTCGTCGTGTATTTGCGAAGTGTAGTTGCGTAGTGCTTCTGCGTAGTGTATTTGACGCAGTGAACTTGCGTAGTGGGTTGACGCAGTGTGTTCACGCAGCGCGCTGGCAGAGTGCTCCTGCGCGGTGTATTTGCGCAGGGTTTTCGTGCGTGCTATTTGCGTCGCCGCTTGGTGTGCAATGCTTGCGCGGAATAGTTGCGTGGCGTATCTCGCGCAATGCATTGCGCCGCGTGGAGTCAGCTTTCCGCGAAGTGTTGTCGCGTAGCGTTTTCGCGTCATGCGTTTCTATGGTCGCCCCGCAAACTCGGGAAGGGATCTGCGACTGGAGGCCTGGGGAAGCTGCAGAGCACCTCGATCGGGCGATGGGCAGTGGCAGTGCTGGAGATGTCCGCGGTGGCGCCACTGTGCCGGGGACTGCGACATGCCCCCCTGCGCTGCGCTGTGCCGCACTCGTACGCGGCAGGGAAAGCACCACGTAGTGGGTATGCGTAGTGGATTTGCGTGTTCTTTACGTCGTGCGTTTACGTAATGCATTTGCGCAAGGTGTACTGACGAAGTGTATTTGCGTAGTGTATTTGCAATGCGTTTGTGTGGTGTGGTGGCGCAGTGTGTTGGCGTATTGGATTGGCGTGGTGCTCCTGCGTGGTGTATTTGCGCAGTGTCCTCGTGCATGGTATTCGCGTCGCTGTTTGGCGTGCAGTGCTAGCGTGGAATACTCGCGCAGTGCATTTGCGTGGAGTTTTACGTAGTGAATTTGCGGAGTGTATCCACGTAGTACCTATTTCACGTTTAAGCCTTTCCTTGTGGAGCAATATGCGCGGTGTATTTGCGTAGTGCTTTTACGTAGTGTATTTGCGCAATGGATTCGCGTACTGCGTTCACGTTGTGTAGTTGCGTGGAGTATTTACGTAGTGTCCATATCGCGTTTAGACTGCTTCATTTCACCGTACAAGTTCCTCTCGCCATTAAGCAGAACCGTCGTCCTCCCAAATCACATTCTCGTTTATCATTACGTGCGAATGCTGGCCGGGTCTGGGCGGGGTGCTCGTCCAATGCGTCTTGTCTGGCCCTACGCCAAAACTGATGTCCTTGAGTTCGGCCAGCGCATCCGCGATCATGTCGTCCATGTGCTCCATGGACGCGGCCGCGAGCACAACGTCGTCCGCGTAGGAGACGCAGGATATCCAGAAATAGTCGAATCCGAAACCCCAGCCCTGTGCTATCCAGCGGGGTTCCAGCTTCCGGATCACCATCTCCATGACCATCGTGAACATTAGCGGAGACTTCACCACGCTTTGCGGAAGCGACGTGCCGAATATTGGCTTGCACAGAGCTCTGATGCCAGATCGCCTCGCTTAGCGCGATTTCGGGGAGCCCTATCCCTTGGAATTCCATTCCGTTGAACGCGGCACGGTGGTCGACATGGTCGAAAGCCTTTTTCCAGTCGAGTTGTTCAGTGAGCAGCGGTTGCCGCTATTCCCTGGCCAGCTCTGCCGCTCTATTCAAATCGAAGTCCTGGGTATCCGCGTGGCTGCCAGGTATGAACGCAGTCTGCACCGTTACGAAGGTCAGCACTGGCAGCGACAACATCCAAATACAGCCAAGGAGCTTGCGCATCGCACATAAGACCGCGATGGGTCTGAACTTTGCCAACGTGGTCGCACCAAGCACCTTGGGCGCCAAAGTCATCATCGATCTTGTCCCTTCCGCACGGAATGCTAAGGTCCTCCATCTACGAGCCATGTTCGCCCCCAGCCAGTCTTTGCACTCGCTTGGCAATGCCTCGAGGACCTCCGCGGTGATGCCGTCTGGGTTGCTTTTTCCCCACGTGGAATTTCGACAACGCGTTGTCTAGTTTCGCCCGGGTGACCAGAGGGTTACGCTCATCGCCTTGCAAGTCCAGCCGCGCATGCACACAGTGTTCCCGCTCTTCCTTCGCTTGCTGCCGCTCGTCCTCCGCGAGCCCGAACAAACCTGCCCTGCCTGCATCCACGTCCGACTCGAACCGTTCCAAGCGTCTCTCCCGCCGGAGCGCCCGCCGCCGACGAAGGATACTACCACTGCGGCTGATGTTGTTTAGCTCCTGCTCGTTTGCTTTCTTTTCCCCGCGCAGCTGGAGCAGGGCCACCAGATCGAGGTCCTCGACCTTAGGGAGCTCGTGTTTGTGCTCTGTCAGTCGTGCCACTGCGTCATGTTCTCCGCCGTCGCCTCGGTCCAAGTGGAGGACCTGATGCCGCGGGCTCCTTGGGGGATGATGTCGCCATCTGATGTTTCTCTCTCGGTCGGCTTCCAATTCTTGATGTCGCGGGCTCCTTGGGGGATGATGTCGCCATCTGATCTCTCTCTCTCTCTCTCTAGAGTATTTCTCTCTCTCTCTCTCTTTATCTCTCTCTCTATATGTATATGTATCTCTCTCCCTCGATTTTTTCCTCTATCTCTGTCTCTCTATCCTTTTCCGTCGAGCGTACCATCGGCGTACCGTCACCATCTCAACAGCAGTGGAGCAGCGACCGAGCAGCAGCACGGCCCGGCGGAAGACGAAAGAGGGGAGGACAACGTGAGGGCGCGAAAAGGGGTCCAACAAAGAATACCCGACGGGCCGCCCGCTCAAATAGCTTGCATGACAGAGCTTGCACCGCATGGCTTGGGTCACGTTGCGTACAACACATCGCTTGCACGATGTAGCTTGCACCACATAGCCTGTGTAACGTAGCTGGGGCCACACAGTTTGCAGCACATAGCTTGTACCACATAGCTTGACTTACACCGCGTAACTTGCACCACACAGCTCACACCACAGAGCTTGCGCCACATAGCTTATACCACATTGCTTGAACCACGTAGCTTGAACCACGTAGCTTGGACTACATCGCTTGCACATCCAGAGTGTCAGAAGACACTGTTTGGGTTCTACGCTGGCAATTGATCATGGTATAGGAAAGTGTATCGGACTGCTCCTGTATGACCCTGCAGCTGGTAGAAGGCTCTCTCGGCAAGAGGGGGAAGGACCGAATCGCTCTGCCTTTGAGGACATGCCTTTGCATTCTACGACTTGCTAATCGCAAGTGAACTTCGGCAACTAAACCCACCCGCATTCTTCCCCACGGAGCGCACACCGTTCCCGAAGAAAATGGGAATCAGATGTGGCAGGCGACCAGTGAAGCGACTGGCGACCGGCATTGACATAGCACGGCACGAGAGATCAACGGCGCAAGAAACCACAACGTGTACTGAATTGAGGTACGCGTTCGCGGGGTTCGCACCTTTTTGGCACAAGGACCGCAAAGGAGGGAGCATCCCGTGACCCGAGCACAGCACGACGTCCCAAAAGGCAATGCAGAGGTCTGGCCCGGCAGCTCTGCACGAGCTTCTCTGGCGGAGCCTCGGGAAATTTTGCTTCGCGTGTTGCTCGCGCGTTGCCTCACGTCTGGCGTCGCGCCCCGCTTGTTCGAGCGGGGCGCTCCTGTTTAAGCACCGGCAAGAACCATATGACCGCAGCGGCGAGAGGGACAGCGGAGAATTCGAAGAAGGCGATGGGAAAATGGGAGGTGTAGCGAGTAGCAAATACCTGAGAAACACGTGAATGGCTAACATTTCTGCTCCCCGGTAACCTAAGACCCTTCCCATTACTATGGACTCTGTTCAGTTACACTCCTCCGAATTACATGGGACATGCAGCAAGTCTGAAAGGTTCTTCGGTGTTCCCGACAAGCTTCTCGGAGGGTTCTCGGAAGTTTTTCGATGCTCCTCAGAGGCTTATTGGAGGCTACTTTAAAAGCTTCATGGAGACTCCATCCAGACTTCTTTGAGATTTCTTGGAGTCTCCTTGGGAACCTGTTGGAAGCATCTTCAAGACTCCTGAGAGGCTTTTCGGAAGCTTCCTCTTGGAGGTTCCTGAGAGGCTTCTTGGAGGCTCCAAAGAGGTTCCTTGAAGATTTCCTGGAGGCTCCTTGGAAGCTTGTCGAACACTTGTTGGAAACTTCTTGGAGGCTGTTCTGAAGCTCCTTCTCGGAAGCTCCAAAGAAGCTGAGAGGCTCCAAAGAAGCTTCGTATAGACTGCTTAGAAGCTTAATGGAAACGGCCTACAAGGCTTCTGGGAAGCTCCTTACAGACTTAGTGTAGGTTTCTGAAGAGCTTCTTGGAGGCTTATGAGAAGCTTATTGAGGCTCCTGCCGGGCTTCTGAGAGGCTTCTGGGAGGCATATCTTCGACGTACGAAAGGCTTCTCCTGAGAGGGTCCTCTTGACCGTCTGGGGGTGTCTTTTTTGTGCCCGTTTAGGCCAGCTTGGGGCTTTCTGGGGGTCGTCTTGGCAATTTTGGGTTGCTTCGTAGAAGTTGGGGGAACTCGATACGGTTCAAATGGACTATGTGGCCCGTAGGACTCACAGGCCAGACGCCCATCATGCTGATGGGACCCGTGAGGCTCATACGACCCACACGGCCAAAAGTGCTCATGAGGCCCATGGTGCCCCTGGTGGTCGTACAGTTCACGGGGCCCTCCAGGATGGTAGAGGATGACGTGGAACAGGATGGAGAAACCAAAAGTACCAATCCCGCTACACCCTGGACCTCTCCAGGGGTGCGTTTTGACCAGAATTTCTAAGCGAATCTAGCAGTGGCGACGAGGGCCTTCTGGGGGGGCCCAGAAAAAGAAAACTAGGGAAGGGTAGCGGTATCGATAACTTTTCGTCGCGGTATCGGTATCGGTGCCTTTTCGTCCTCCGAGGATGAAGTGGATGAGGAAGAGACAAGGCGACGAGTCAGCGCCCAGAGGCGCTCAGCGCCGAATCACCGCCGACGGCCGCGAGCCGGCGCTCGCAGCGCCGCGCCCTCGGCCTGGAGCTCGGCGAGCTGCCGCTTGAGCCCCTCCCGGTTGAGCCACAGCTGCTGCCGCATCTGCGCCAGCTGCTCGTGCGCCTCTGCGATCCGCAGCTTCGTCTCCACCAGCGCGTCCTTCTCGGGGCCGTCCCGCGCCCAGTCGCGGCCGCCGCCGTCGCGCAAGCGCGCGGCCTCGCGCAGCTTCTCGAGCTCCGCCTCCTTCGCCTCGCAGTCCACCCGCAGCTCCTGGAGCGCCCCGGCCAGCTCCGCGTGCTGCCGCTCCGTGTCCCGCGCGGCGGCCAGGTCCTCCTCCGTCTCGGCCAGCACCGCCTGCCGCCTGCGCTGCACCGCGGCCAGCTCGTCCAGCAGCCTCTGCTTCTCCGCAGCCCGGGCCTCGAGCTCCGCCTCCTCCGCCTCGCGCCTGCGCAGCTCCTCGTCCAGCTGGCTGGTGAGCTGGTCTATCAGGCCCCGGAGGCCCCCCGCGGACTGCTCCGCGGCCAGCCGCTCTGGCGGCATGCCGAGCCCGGCGCCCGTGGCGGCAGCGTGCGGCCAGGAGCCCGTGGGGCTCAGCAGTGGCTGCTCGCCTGCTGCGGCGACTGGCCACTCCGAGCCCGGGCGGCCCCCTGGCGGCAGGCCAGCGGCCGCGCCGCCCGCCGCCGCACCCTGTGGTCGCTCGGCCTCGACAGCAGCCTCCGCGGCGACTTGCGCCACAGGCCACCCGCCGCCACCGACGGGGGCGGTGCCCAGCGCGGCGGGCCGACCAACTGCGACGGCTGCCCCCTCCTGGTCCATGGGCCAGTCGCTGCTGCTGCTGCTGCTGCTGACAGGTGCGGCTTCTCCTGCGCTTTGCACGACAGTCCAGTTGCCACCGCTGGCGGCCGCGGCCGCGGCCACGTTCTGCGCGGCAGGCCAGTCGCCACCGCTGGCGGCCGCGGCCGCGGCCACGTTCATTGCGGCAGGCTGGTCGCCGCCACCGCTGGCGGCCGCGGCCCCGGCCGCGGCCACGTTCTCCGCGGCAAGCTGGTCGCCACCGCTGGCGGCCGCGGCCGCGGCCGCGGCCACGTTCTGCGCGGCAGGCCAGTCGCCACCGCTGGCGGCCGCGGCCGCGGCCACGTTCTGCGCGGCAGGCCAGTCGCCACCGCTGGCGGCCGCGGCCGCGGCCACGTTCTGCGCGGCAGGCCAGTCGCCACCGCTGGCACGCGCAGTGCCAAGAGTCCTGGGTTCCACGGGCCAGTAGCTGCTGCTGGCGGCCGCGTCCGCCACCACGTCCTGCTCCGGTGTTTCGGCCTCCCGCAGGGCCGAAAAGGGGGCCAGGATCCACCAGGCCGGCCGTGGCCAGGCACGATACCCAAAACGAGCGACCACCTGCTCAATGCTCGCTCACAGCAGCTGCTCAACGCAGAAGTCCCCCTCAATGCATCTCATTTGCTGTAGCGGCCAGCTGTGAGCGTCTACTTGTAGCTACGTGACGGGGTGTGAGAACGTATCCACATGGACGACGAGTAAGACGACAACGACAAGGACAAGGACGACGACGACAACGACGATGACGACGACGACAACGACGACAACGACGACAACGACGACAACGACAAGGACAAGGACGACGACGACGATGACGACGACGACGACGACGACAACGACGACAACGACGACAACGACGACGACGACAATAACGACGACAACGACGACGACGACAATAACGACGATGACGACGACGACGACGACGACGACGACGACGACGACGACGGCGGCGGCGGCGGCGGCGGCGGCGGCGGCGGCGGCGGCGGCGGCGGTGACGGTGGCGGCGATGCAAGACAGCAGGGACGACAACTCACAGACAGACAGGCGGTGAGCAGGGCGCTCCCCTTTCCCTCCTCTGACTGGCCGCCGTGCTCCCTCCCTCTCCTCCCTCTCCTCCCTCTCCTCCTCCTCCTCCTCCTCCTCCTCCTCCTCCTCCTCCTCCTCCTCCTGCTCCCCCCCCCGACTCCCCCCGAGAGGGAGGAGAGGGAGGAGCACGTCGTTCACTTCTGATCGTGCTCGTTTCTAAGTGTGCTCGTTTCCAATTGCTCCTGGCCATCTGGTGGCCAGGAAGAGGCCCAGGATAGAACCATTAGAAATGAAGGATCTTGGCCCCAAACAAAAATCAAGGACTTTTCGAATAATTAGAACTGAACAATGTGTATCCCTCTTCATTCGTTCCCCTCCATCCTGCTCCGATATCCATCTTCCGTCCTGGCGGCCGTCCTTCTCCCTTAATACATCGAAATGATCATGGGGCTCTGCATGGAGAGGAATCGGAGGTGCAGAATCGATCGCCTCGCACGGTACATCCCCGCGATCTGGCCGCCTGGGGTGCTGAAGACAGCGCCTCGTTCGAGACTCACACCCTGCTCTGAAGGCACCGACGTCCACGCCACCAAACAGGAGAACCGCCTGAGACATCTCCACGTTTTCTGGGCGCGAGCGGGCAAAGGTCCTCCCTCCTGATGGCTGCCCCTTGGAGCGCCCCACTCGAGGTATCCTCAAAACCTGTTCTGAAAACGCCGAAATCCAAGCCACCAGAGAAATCCCAGCAATCTGGCGGCGAACGGGCAAAGGTCTTACCCCCTTGCCACCTCCGCCTTGGGGAGAGATAGGTAATCCCCGGCAGAAGGGTTCAACCCTCCAGCGGAGTGGTTCAATCCCCAGACGCCTACTTGAATATTCTCAGCTTCGTGGTGCGTTTCCTGAGCCTGCCGAGGGGGTTCTTGTGAGTTCTGGCGGGCCTCTCGGGCCTCCCGACTGGCCTCTTGGGCCCTCCCGACGAGCCTGTTGGGCCCCCCGACGAGCCTCTTGGGCCTCCCGACGAGCCTCTTGGGCCTCCCGACTGGCCTCATGGGCCTCCCGACTGGCCTCATGGGCCTCCCGACTGGCCTCTCGGGCCCTCCCGACTGGCCTCATGGGCATCCCGACGAGCCTATTGGGCTCTCCTGGCAAGCCTCTTGGGCCTCGCGAACATGTTAAGCATGTGCGTTCATCCACGGGACTGGGACGATGGTTGCCCCTTGCAGCATTGTAAAAATCCAGCGGGCAGATTATGTTCCTTCCGCGGACGAGCGCCCGTCGACGGATGATGCGTATATGTGTATGCATACGGACGTGCATCTCTCTTTCTCTGTCTCTCAGCCTCCATCTATACACCACCAACACACGGATTTGATACTTCTACGTCACTCATAGTGTGCGAAAAAAAAACAAGCAAGACACCTTCGTCCAAAAGTTGAGTGTACCAATGCACCAGAAGTCGCTTCCAGTGTGTTGTGCCTGAATGATTGGTCCTCAGTGTTGGCAACCTGTCACGAGGCCGCATTACTTCACTAGTACGCCAAACACATAGGCGTGATATGCAACCGCAGAGCTGTGTTGAGAGACAACGTAAACTCACGATGGTCTAAGGGGATCCATCAGGTTTGGTTAAACAACATCGTTCGGTATCATTATCACAGGCAGAGTCCAGCTCAAAACACGTAAACGACACTACGGGGGCCTCTTGGAGCCCTCTCGGCAATACTCGTGGCATCAGCGCGGCACGCAAACAAATGCGCGGCGGTCAACGGTCGCGCAAATACAACTTCAACGGGAGCCCAACAACAAGTTATCTGTTTTGTTCTACTCGAATTCAAATAGAACCACATTTTGGTCAAACAACGAAACAATTCGCTTCGAATCCTGGCGCATCCCATAGCATCCCACAGGAGCCCAACGGGATCCAATGGGTGATTATACTACTGGGTTGCAGCAGGATTCCTGACGGAACCTACACAATAGGAACCAAAGGGCGATTACTCATATTGGATTGATTACTCATATTGGATTCCGAAAAGGACCAATACAACAGCCCTCTAGGAATCCCATGACAATGAAACTTTGGATTCTAATTGGCGCAGACTACAAACTCGGAAACAAGTCTCCTTACGCCGCGCCACAGCCCCAAAAACAACCGAAAACAAACGTAACGTTCCGCACCCAACCCCGTCCGCCTCAGTGGACGTGTTCCCCAAACGCGCCCCCCATAAAATTCAAAACGGGCTGGCGCGGCCGTCGCTGTTTGGACAGGGGCGCACGCCATTCGCAGGGGATGCCCCGCGCGATTATTTAGTTTGGGACCTGTTTGGGGCCAGATTCCACGCGTATTTCGAACCACGCTTCAAGCGAAAAGCTCGTTTTCCAATTAGTCGGAGCCCACTTCTCCTGTTCGGAACCGCTGCATCACCTGCGGCACTATGAACAGAGCGCGCGAGAAGAGCAGGCGTTGGCAGTGGCAGCAGGTTGTGGCAGTGAACAGCGCGCGCGTGAACAGGCGTTGGCAGTGGCAGCCAGCAGTGGAGCTGCTGAGCGAGATTTTGGTTCTGAAGCTAGGCCCCTTACTGAAGCGCTCGTGCTCGGGTGCGTTCAGCCGGGTGAGCAGCCGCTTCATGGCTGCTTCCCGCCGGGGGGCCGCCGCTCGCTGGTAGTAGGCCTCAGGTTCGCTCAGGTCAAAGGCGCTGGGTAACCGATAGCTTCTACCAGGGATCAGCAGCGCCATCTTGACCTCCTCCTTGCGCGGGCGATCGCCATTGCGCCCCTGGCATATACGCCGTCGTATTTCACGCAGCTCCTCAAGCCAAGTGGCTCGCAACTCCTCCTATAGGCCCCGCGCCCGACCATCCGGGAACTCGGCCGGGTCCTTCTCGCAGGCCTGCTCCGGCTGGGCTAGCGCCACTCGCTGGTCTCTCCCGTGCTCGACGCCTAACGCCGACTCGACCATCTGGATCTCGCGCCTGGCCCGCTTGAACCAAGTGGCCATGTGGGATGCAGGACGCTGGCGTGCTTCCAGCTTGTCATCGTCGGGCAGCCGATAGCTGTCGAAGTCCTCGTCGCGCGCCGGGATACAGTCCGCGACGCTGAAATCGCGGCGGCCTGCCCAGAAGGCCAGCGCTGCGAAGCCATAGGCGACCCCATTGGTCACGAGCGCGGGCCACTCGATGGCCTTCAGCGCGCTCGTGGATCTAGCGCACATCCGCATCAGCGAGTCCATCAGGCGTCGCCCAGCGACGATGGCCGCGCAGGCCTCCGCTTCCAAGGCGTCGCGCCCCCTCGCCAAGTGCACGTCGAGCTGGTCATCCCGACCGATGCCAGCCCGCGTGCCGCGCGGCTTGCGCTCGCCCTCGGCCGCGCGCGCCGCCCGCTCCGTAGCGCGGGCGTTCTGCTCGATGGCCCTCGCGGTCTCTGACGGTCCAACTCCCGCGGCGGAGCTATCCCCATCTGGTCCTCCCACGCGTTCGCCCCCATGGTTGCCCCCTCGTAGCAGGCGCCCGGGGCCTCGGCTGAATGCCCCCCCCCCCTGTCAACGGGGATTCCGCCCTGCGTCGGGCGCGAGGCCCCGCCAATTCGCGGCCCCCTCGCGCCAATTCGTGGCCCCCTCGCGGCGCAAGCCCCCGCCGCCCCGAGGAGCGGCCCCGAGCACTTGCGCGCTGAAGCTGAGACGCCGATGGGTCCACATCGCGATCGCGCATCGCTGCCCGCCCACGCTGGGCCTGGCTAAGATCAGCCGAGGCCTGCTGGGCGTCGGCTTCCACCGCGCCAGAGGTGGCTCGGCGCGCCACTTCTCGACGGATCCAGGTCCCGCCCAGCCTGTTCCAATGACACTTCCATGACCTCGGCCACCGCCCCCAATGCAGCATGGGGATCGGCGCCGCCACGTAGGGCTGACGTGAAGATCTCGACATTGGCCCGGCACGCCGTCCTCCTCGCGGCCCAGGGGGGGCCCATGTGGGCGGTGGTAACATTGGTGGTCGCGGCAGGTCGTCGCCCTTCTCGCTCCCGCGGGTCGAGGTCCCAGCCCCGCCTCGGTCGCGCTGAGGCAGCGGCGCGGGCGGCCCCCGGCGGCGTTCACCTCCGCTCCGCCCCGCCGGTGCAGACGGATATGGCCCGCGAACTTGCGCGGGGCGCGGCGCGCCGCCACTCGCGCGCCGACCTCGCCAATGCCCATCGGGGCCTCGCAGAGCAGCCGGTCGATCCAGTCGGCGCCGCACCGACCCTCGCCGATCGGGGCGGGGTGCCGCGTGATATCCTACGCCTGCACCTCGACCTGCGCACCCTCCAGGCTCGCCCCGATGATCGCAAGCGCGTCGCTGGCTGCCCTCGCGCCTCGATGCCCTCGCACACTCCCAACAATAAGTGTCAAGGTTGGGCTCCCGTTTCGACGCGATCGCCGAAGCTCGGGCGCATCTTCGCCGCGAAGTTCTCCTGGGGCCACTGCTGCGCCGGCAGCCTATCGGCCGCGGGCCCCTTCCCAGCTGGCCGCGAGCGATCGCCGCCCTCCGGCTCGGCGGACCTCGCCCGTCGCTGCGCGGGCGCGGGCGGCGACGCGGCGGGCGGCGCCTCCATCCCGCGCGGTCCGCCTCCGCCTCGGCCCCCGGCGTGGCATCGCCACGGGCCCCCCCCCCCGCGCGGCCGTCGACGATGCCACCGTCGCCGGGGCTACGCGCTGGAAAGCGGATGCAGCTGCCGGCCCCGCGGGGCGCGACGGGCGCCCAGTCCTTCGCGGCCCCGGGGCTAATCCCCTGCCCGCGCATGCGCTTCTGCAAGCCCCCGAAGAGCCCCGGGAGCATGGTCGCCTCCATCCGCAGTGGCGTGCCACTGCCGTTCCCCAGGTGCTCCCCGCACATGGGGGCGCCGTGAGAGTTCCCACGGGCCACCCGATGGCACGTCGGCAGTCTGCATTTGCGACCCAGTAGCGTCGAGTGGTCCTTCTGGGCGCGATGAGCGCACGGACAGATCTGCACCATCTCCCCAGCCCGAGGCGAGGGCATGTCGGACGCCGCTGCGTCATCCACCAGTAGGGCCGCGGGTTCCATTAGCCCGCGGTCCGAGCACCCCTCTGGCTGTAGCGGGCGGGACCCGCTCGCCAGCTGCGCGCCTACCCTCGCCGCTTGGCGCGGGCGCTCCTCCGCCTCGTTCTCGCTCTCCGAGTCCGGGGCCAATGGGCGGCCCCCCGTGGCATCGTTGATGTAGCGGGGCTCTGGGCGAGGACGGCGCGTCCACTCGGGCAGGGGCCATGCCGGCCCGACAAGCGGCCACCATGCCAGAACGCCCACGTTAAGCAGCCCAACGGCCGCTGCTCGGCGCGGCGTCGCCGCTGCATGTGATCGATGGCAGCGCGCTGCTCAACGCGCATCGGGTGCGCAGCCACATGCGCCCCGCCGCCCGGCAGAAGTGCACCTGGCCGATGGCCTCCAAGTTAGCCCTCCAAGCGCGACTCGCACAACCCAGCACCTGGTCAATATACACCGCCAGTCCAAGTCGATCGAGGCGTGGCTTCGACAGGGCCCCCTCCGGGCCCACAGCTGCGCTGAAGTTGCAGGACACGCGTGCTGCCTGCCCGTGCTTGTGCAGCAGCAGGTGATTCGGAGCTTGGTTGGTGCCCTGGCCGCGCACCCCTTTGTTGTAATAAGCGGTCTCGGTGTCCCCACCCACTCCAAGGGGCCACGGAACTGCGCCCGACGCAGCGGGGGCGGCGGCGGCGGGAGAGCTGCCTCCGGCTCCGCGGGCCGTCGGCGACAACGTGCCGTAAGCTGCCCCAACGCCCGAGCTATCCCAGCCTATCTCAAGGCCAACGGCACCATAACCGCGTTGATGCAGTCGGCGGCAGCACCCAGCAGGAGCGCGAACATGGCAATCATCACGCACAGCGCGGCTGTGCCCTACCAGGAGCCCCAAAATCTCGCGCCCAAGCTGTCCGCCGCCGCTCCGATCCACCCCGCTCTGCTGGACCCCCCGCCCGCTGACCTCGAAGGCCCAGGCCGTGAGTCCCCAAGGCCTTGCTGGCGCAAGCTCGCCAGGCCCAGGCGCTCTGATCCCCCCGGCGCGCCGCCAAGTCGGCACGGGCCGTGCTCCACCCCCCCTTCCACGGCACGCCCCGTAGTCGAGGTCGCGGTCGTAGTCGCGGTAGTGGTGGCCGTCGGGATACCCGGGCGACGCCCCTATCTGGCAGCGGGCGGCGGAGGGGGCGACCGCCTCTTTCCAAGCCCCTCGCTCGCCTTCGCGGCTGGCGGCTTCTCTCCAGGCCCCAGGCGCCCTTCGCCCTTAGGGCTGGGAACCATGCCGGGGAGGGGGGGGGGGGGGGATAAGGCCCAAGCGCCCGCCTCGATGGCTCGGCCGCCGAGGGCGTGGGATCTGCACCATGCAGCCCTCGGCCGAAAAGCCACCATCCGTTGGCCCAGCTCGTCTGCACCCCGCCGATGAGGATCGCCGCGGCGTGCGCCACGAGGCCCCAGGGCCACATCGCCGCGCGGCTTTTCTCCCCCCTAGCGCGGGCGTAGTTTCGGCCGGACATGGCCCACTGGCACAACCCTGGTCTCGAGCATCAGCGGCTACAGAGACCAAAATGGAAACCGCCCCAAAGTCCCCATTCCCGCCGCGCAGAACCTGCAGTCTCAACAACCAGATTATACAAAATATGAGTATGAGCACGAGTGCATCCGAGGTACGACTGCCTCTGAATACGAATGCGTCTGAGTAGGAGTGAGCCTACATGCTGCGTCTGAGTCTGGATTTGAGTGCGAGTCCGAGTGCGAGTGAGTCTGTGTGGGCAAATTTGAATGCGAGTGAATGCGAATGGGTATGAGTGCGAATGGAGGGAGGAGAGGAGGAAGTGAGGCCCCACACTCGGGATATGATATGGGGAAATCGAGGCTAGATGGTTGTGCAATATGCTACAATGTATTAAGAGCTGGGCGTCTGAGTACGCACCCCACGCTGCGCAATGCGCGGCTATGCTGAAGCTCTGACGCCGCCTGCCTGCAAAGGGACAACTCTGTGGCCCCGACTCGCGAAGCGCCGATCTCCTCGCGCCCCCGACAGCCCTGACACCGCGACGCATCGCACTCTCCGAGCAATTTTCTGACAGATGACGGAAAGCGCGCGTAGCGTCGCGATCCGTCAATCAAGGGGGGTGGGGGGTAGGCAGCCCGGGCCTCAGATGACGGAGAGCGCGCGTAGCGTCGCGATCCGTTAGTCGGGAGAAATAACAAAGAGGGGGGGGGCAGGCATCCTGGGCCTCAGATCCGATACCCCCAGGTTTCGGCCAGATTCGGCCCAAGACGACCCAATTCAGCCCCAAGAGCGCTCAAGAGGCACCCACATCGGCCCAAGAGGCCCCAAGATACCTCCAAGACGGCGTCGGAGAGGTCCAAAAGGGCCCGAGGACGGCCCAAGAGCGCTCCAAGAGGGCCCACTATGGATTCAAGACAGCCCAAAAAGGCCCAAGACGCCCCAAGAGGCTCCCCGGGGGACCCCCACGAGGCAAGAATCGCTCCATTCCTTAGGGGAGACGTGCATTATTTTATATTCGCTGTTTTGGTCTCCGCAGCGTCCAAAACGGTCCAGGAGGCCCCCAAGACCGCCCCAAGACGGCCCTAGAGGCCCCAAAGACAGCTCAAGTGGGCGTCAAGACAGCCCAAGAGAGCCCCAATACGGCCCAAGAGAAGGCCCTGAGGGCCCCATAAGGTTCACAAAAGAGCCCCAAGAGCGAAAGCGCGCGCGCCGTCCGCCACGGCGGGACGCAAGCGCACATGCCTGCGAGATGCAAGCACCAATGCCTGCACAACGCACGACCCCGAGGCGCGCCGCGAACCGCCCCGACGCGATCCCCGCGGCGCGCCTGCACGGGGCGTTCGACGCAAAGCGAGCAGAAGAGCAGACTAGCCACGCGCGTGACGACGCACCCCCCTCGCGCGCGGGCCCTTCGCGCGGGGCCGCGCGCCGCGAGGCACGTGCCGTCGCTCCCCCCCCCCCCCTCGCGCGCGCAGGCCCTTCGCGTGGGGCCGCGCGCCGCGAGGCACATGCTGACGCCCCCCCGCCTCGCGCGCGCGGGCCCTTCTCGTGGGGCCGCGCGCCGCGCGGCGCAGGAAAGCGGGAGGCGGCCCGCGCGCCCAGCTTGCCCGCCCGCGCGCGGGCCAGGCGCGGGCGCGAAATTTGTGCCCGCGCACAACGCAGCACAAGCGAGCGCGCGCGCTTTCGATGGCGTTGGGCGCCCACCACAAGAGAACCCCAAGAGGGCCTCAGGAGGTCTCCAAGGGGACCCAGGAGGACACCCAGAGGGCCCCAAGACTGCCCAAGCCCGCCAAGACAGCCCAAGAGGGTCACAGTACGGCCCGAAAGGGCCCCAAGAAGGGCCAAAAGAGCTCCAAAACGACCTCCAGGAAGGCCCGGAAATGCAACACGTTTTGCTTTTCGCAAGGTTCGTTACTAAATTTCTGCATGTGCTCCAAGACGCCAAGCCAGCGACCATGCGCCCTCACAAAATAAAGGCGCTTTCCGTCCCTATGCCAACCAGGTGCAATTTTCGGCCCAGGACGGCCCAAGTCAGCCCCAAGGGCGCCTAAGAGGCCCCCAAGACGGCCCAAGGCAGCCCCCAAATCGCCCAAGATACCTCCAAGACGGCGTCGAAGAGGCCCAAGAGGGCCCGAGGACGGCCCAAGAGCGCTCCAAGAGGGCCCATATGGCTTTAAGACAACCCAAAAGGCCCCCAAGACGACCCAAGAGACCCCCAAAGGGGACCCCCAGAAGGCAAAAATCGCTCCATTCCTTAATTAACCGTGCATGTTTAGCATAACGGCCAAGGAGGCCCCCAAGACCGCCCCAAGACGGCCCCTGAGGCCCTCAAGACGGCCCAAGTGGGCGTCAAGACGACCCAAGAGTCCCAATACGGCCCAAGAGAGGCCCTTGAGGGTCCAGAAGGTTCCCAAGAGAGCCCCAAGAGGGCCTCAGGAGGTAGGAAGTCCCCAAGGGGACCCAGGAGGAACCCCAGAGGGCCCCAAGACTGCCCAAGCCCGCCAAGACAGCCCAAGAGGGTCACAGTACGGCCCAAAAGGGCCCCAAGACGGGCCAAAAGAGCTCCAAAAGGACCCCCTAGAAGGCCTGGGAATTTAATATGTTTTGCTTTTCGCAAGGTTGGTTGCTAGATTTTTGTATGTCGTACCGAAGCCTTGACACCAACAGGGCTCCAAGACACCAAGCCAGCGACCTCGCGCTCTCGCAAAATCAACGCGCTTCCCGACCTCATGCCAAGCAGGTCTGACGTCACGGCAGATCCAACGCAGCTACCCTCGCGCCCACTACCCCCACGAGAAGCGACCTCGTCCGCTGCCGCTGCGCCCTCCGCCACGAGCGGCTCACCGCCGCCGCCGCCGCCAGGCGCCACGCCGCTGCTGGCGGCGTCGCCGTCCGCGGATGGCGCGGCGCCGTCGGCGCCGGCGCCTGGCGCGCCGCCGCTGGCGGCGACCTCGCCCGCTGTCACTGCGCCGCTGGCGGGCTTCGCGCCGTCGCCGACGGCGGCACCCTCCGACGTGAGCGGCACGCCGCCGCCGCCGGCGTGCGGCGCGCCGCCCGCCGCCGCTGCGTCGCCGTCCGCTGGCGCGCTGCCCGTGGCGGCGACCTCGCCCGGCGCCTCTGCGCCGTCGGCGAGCGGCGCGCCGCCGCCGCCGCCGCCGCTGGCGGCGCCGCCCTCCGCCGTTGGCGCGCCGCCGTCGCCGCCGTCAGCTGGTGCGCCGTCGCTGGCGGCGGCGTCGTCCGTTGCCGCTGCGCCGCCGGCGGGCGACGCGCCGCCGGCGGCGCTGGCGCCCTCTGCCCTGCGCGGCGCGCCACCGCTGCCAGCGGGCGTGCTGCCGCAGTCGCCGCCGTCGGCTGGCGCGCCGCCGCTGGCGGCGACATCGTCCGCTGCCGCTGCGCCAGTGGCGGCGGCGCCCTCTGCCATGAGCGGCGCGCCGTTGCTGGCGCAGCGGTGCGCTCCGCTTCCATGACGCCGCCAGCGGGCGGCGCGCGGCTGCTGCTGAATGGCGAGGGAGAGGCGGAGAGGGAGGATCAGCGGGCGACGACGACGAGGGACGACAACGCCGAGCGACGTTGACGACGACGAGCGACGTTGATGACAGCGACGGCGACGGCGACGGCGGCGGCGGCGGGAGAGGCGACGACGAGAAGCACGAGCAGAAGCAGCAGCAGCAGCAGCAGCGGCAGCAGCAGCAGCAGCAGCAGGAGGAGGAGACGGACAGGAGGAGCAGAACGGGGGCCAGGAGCGGCAGAGGGAGCAGTGAATCAAGTGCGGGTCAACACCTCCAACATGCCCGATCCGTGAAAGGCCGCCTTAGCAGGCCCAGCTATACAGCCACCGTGCTGCCATGAGGGACGCGTAATCATAGACAAGGCTTTCCTGTCCACGCCTGGCCTCGGTCACGAACAGGTTCATCGATTTAGATTCACAATCTGGGGAACGGGCCGAAAACCATAGCTCCTTCAGTCTGAGCCCAGAGAGCACCTTATTTCAGCGTGTTCACGGTGGCCTGCGGGGCTGGCCGGATTGCACCGGTGCGACCGCTAGGAATTCAGAAGGATGCGCGTGCCAACCATGCGGGCGCCGCACGACGACGACGGCGACGTCGATGGCGACGGCGGCGCCGACGACGGCGCTCACGGCGACGGCGACTGCTACGACGGCGGCGGCGACTGTGACGAGGGCGACGGACGGCGACCGTGAGGGCGGCGGCGAGGGGCAGCGGTGGCGGCGACTGCGGCTGCGCCGGTGGCGGTGGTGGGGGGTTGCGCACGCGCGCGGGCGCGGGCGCCCGCCTGGCGAGCTCGCGCGCGAGCTCTTGCGCAGGCGTGGCGCCGCGGAGTGCCAGCGGCGGCCTGGCCCAGTGGGCGGCGTCGGCGTGCTCGGCGTGGGCACGGGCGGCGCCTGCGAGGAGGGGCGAGCGAACAGGCCGCGCCAACACGCCCGTCTGTGGAGGGTGAGGGGGAGGGGGAGGGGGAGGGGGCGGGGGAGGGGGAGGGGGAGGTGTGTGATTTGAGTCTAGAGGCCGGTGGTTTTCAAGGCCGATGCCCCTGCTAGACTCCCTGAGCTTGAAGGTCACGAGCATGGGTCGTAACCATTTTGGCTCAAGACCCAACTTCCACTCATTCCTCATCACTCATACCATATCCACCCTACCCCTCTTCCTTTCCCATACCGTTCCGCGCCTTGTTTGTACAGCGTTGGGAGCTGTGTACTGAGAAGAGAGTGCGAGGGTTCTCTTGCTGGAGAAAGGATCCGACACTTTGGCTTCACTGCTGTCGTCCGTCGGGCGACAGTGGTAGCGGAGCTGTGAGCAGCTCTGAGTCCGCGGACCAATGACGGCAGCAGCGGAGCAAGGTGCTAATCGAGAGACACAGCAAGAAGAACGAGGGGAGCATTCTGCAGTACGGGCAGTGACTGATACACTGATGAGGCATGACGGTCTCCACCTCGACCTAGATGAGGCAGAGAAGTTGGCACGTCTTTTACTACTGGACGTGGTGCCGGCCAGTTCCCAGAGTCGCCAGCGTGACTCACACGGGGGCGGCGACGACAGTGGACGTCGGCGCGATCACGGGCAGAGTTCCAGTGCTCTGTGGTCGAGCGCCGAGGATCGCTCGTGGTCAGGCTGGCACGCACCACCGCCAGAGCACGAGTCGACGAGTGCCGGGACATGGTCCGGTGGCGGCGCTGCCGCGTCCGCCACCGAGACGTCCCAGGGCAGGTCGGAGCAGTGGCATTCAGGTGGCTGGGACGCGACGAGAAACACCTGGCAGGAGCCGGACTGCAAGCCCGGCGAGCAGCAGTGGACTTCTTCGCGATTCACCTGGACTCCGGCTTTGACCTGGGAAAGCTACGGGGAAGAGCATTGGAAAGGCGAGCAGTGGGGCGACTGGTCATCCGGATGGAGATGGAACGACAACTACAAGGACAGCAAGTGGGAGCCCAATAAGCGCCACTCCGGACATGATGACGATCGCCCCAGCACCAACACTGGCAAGGACTTCGCCGACCCCGAGAAGTGGAGAGGCTGGGGGGACTACCGCATGTGGCGCCGCACGGTGCTGCGCTGGAGAACACTGACGGACGTTCCCTCCCACAAGCAGGCTGATCGCCTCTTCCGCTCTCTTGATCAAGACCTTCAACGGAAGCTCGAGGACCTCGATGACGACACGCTGTGCAGCTCATGGGGTTTCGACGTCATTGTCAAACGCCTTGACCTGATGTCTGGTGAAAGACACGGCGACGAGCGACGGAAGGTCGCTCGAGAATGCTTACTGGACTACTCACGCAAGCAGGGAGAGAATCTCACCGAGTACTGTGCACGTATGGACACGGCCTTCGACAGGGTAGCCACGCAGGGGCTGCCGCTTCCAGACGAGTGGAAACTGATGTTCCTGGAGGAAGGAGTTTCTCTCGACGAGCGCTCGGCGCAGATGGTCAAGGTACTCATGAGGGACCAGAAGGACTACAAGTCGGCTCTCTCGGCCATTCGGGAGATGGACATCTCCCATCGAGAGCATCTCAAGGCACGCAGGACCTACGTCACTATGGGCTCGGAGGCGCCCCCACCTCAGGTGCCTACCTATCAGGTCGAGCGCGACGACGAGTCCCTGCTTGACTACTCGGATGTCTCCTCCATGGACTCAGACGGGGAAGCAGAGGTCTGGGCGATCCTGGAGTCGGCCGACGTCGGGGAGGACGACGCACCTGCTGCGCTGGCCGCCATCAACCAGGAGCGCCGCAAGACGTGGAAGCAGAACCGCGACTTGAAGAGACAGCTGAAGACCGACCGGAAGTTCTACGATAGGTCTGGCCAGGGCCGTGGCAGTGATGGGCGCGAGAAGGCTCGCAGGCCCGGCCACAGGGCAGCAGACGGCACGTTCAGAGCGCGGAAGAGCCGCCTTCCGCTTGCTGAATTAATTAAGCGCACAAGATGCCGCGTCTGTCATCAGAAGGGACACTGGTCTCGAGAGTGCCCACAGAAGCAGGGCGCAGGAGCCAAGGACGAAAAGAGGTCTCCTGCCACGGGTCTGACTTTCCTGTATGTGAATGCTTTAGATCACTCCACCTCCCAGTGCTTCGACGAGCCTCCTCCTCCAACCTACGCAGTTGTCCTGCTCGCCGTAGGCCCTGGGGCCATGGTGGTCGACACCGCGGCCGGCCAGGGCCTTGTAGGAGAACAAGCTTTGCAGAAGATCGAGGGGCACTGGGCCTCAAAGGGGTTCGCCGTCCCAAGGGTCCCACCCAGGAACCCAAGCGCGCGCGGAGTAGGTGGGGGGGTAAAGGTCACCCACACCGCTCTGATTCCTGTAGGCATCGAGGGTAGCATGGGGGTGCTGGAGCTGGATGTCCTGGACCAGGACGTTCCACCCCTTTTGCCGATAGGATTTCAAGAGATGTTAGGTGGAATTGTAGATCTTCCGAACAAAGTTCTGACTTTTGTGAAGTTGGGGGTCACGACGCCTCTGACTAGGCTCCCGTCGGCCCACCGCACCATACAGGTAGACAAGTTTTCAGTTCCCGCCAAAGACTTTAAAGCTCCGGCCTCCGTGTTTAGGTCGCACCCTCAGCTGCCGAAGGATGCGTTTCAAGCCAAGGGGAAGTACATCATCGCGTCTTCTGTCAGCACTGGCCTGGGGGGGCTGTACCACGGAAGCTGCTGGGGGAGTCTGAGGGGGACGGAACAGCGTCCAAGGGGGTCCGGGACCTTTTTCTGGGAGAATCTTAGGTCAGAGGCGGTCGGAACGTACGCCGGGGCCTTAGTTGGGCCTGACAACTCAGGTTCCAGAACAGGTCCGCTAAGGGATCTGGAGTTGGGCGGCACCTCCGACTCCGCGCTGAGCAGTACGTGTACTTCGGGACTCGCCAGGGCTTTGAGTTCCAGGTCGAGACGTTTCAGAGCCAGGGGAGGGTCGACAGCGCGGGGTTGGAGGTGGCCGACGTGGGCCACAAGGCCAGCCTCGACTTCGTACGCCTTCCTCGCAGCACTTGGGCTCGAATCATTCAGCTCGCAGCAATTCGACAACAGCCTCGACAACTCAGAGGCTGATTGGAAAGCAGATCGCGATGCCGCCAGCTGCTTCGACGACCCGCGTGGCAGGCCAGAGGGGGCGTCGTGGAGCTCAGGAGCGGCCGCATACGATGACGGACCGCATGCAGAGCCAGGCGGACTCAGCATGGGTCTACGGGGCCACCGGGACCTACGTCCCGGAGAACCTCAACAAGGGCGAGAGGGGATGGGCCTGTTTGGCCGGATGGGTGCTATACTGGTCGGCGCGTCTGGCCGAGGAGTTCGGGAGTATGTGCCGCGCCAAGCGCTTCTGGCCGACCAACCTGCCCAAGTCTCTTCGCCGCCTCTCGCAGG